GCCAAACACACTTGTAATGCCAAGAACCTACTCATTTACAAGTGCAGAAGAGGAGAACTGATCCAGGAACATGAGCTGCACTTGCACTCTCTGGTTTTTACACAAACACGGCTGTTCCTTGTGAGCTAGAAGGCATTACATCATCCACCTAAATATCTCGCTCTCTAGGAAGTTGTACTGCTGTCTGAGCCAGCTGGAAAACAAAAGCTTGTTCACAAAGGTCTGTAATAGCATGATATGGTAGCCAATGGTTGTGACTAAGGATCTCGGAAAGAGGATGAGCTGTACCTCATTTTCTTCCACATTCTGTGTAGCTGGTACTGGGATCAGGGAGCATTGTGAAAGGCTAAGCATGGAGGTGTACTTGGCTTAAATGCAGCATGAATCATGGCTTTGAAGCAACAAAGCAAACCCTCTTCATGATTAAACAGGGCAAATGAACACATCCAAAGGAGATCCTGTTCTATCTGCACGCATGTGTATGTACAGCTAACTGACACAGCCATGCACACAACCAACCACAGGGAAATAGGAGTGAACTTGAGAGATGTATGGATGCCCTGCCCTTGTACATACTCATGGATGCAGTGGCATGCAGAAAACACCTCCTTCACATACTGCTATGGCATGGCAAGTATACGCTGTGTCTGATGCTTGTCGGTGGGTTTTGCTCCTCAGACTGGCTTGAGAAAAACAAAACCAAAGCTTCCAGGCATTTCCCTGTCATAAGTGGCACTGTTGAAGTACTTCCACCTTCAAGAAGTCATCACACCAGTTTTCACTTGAAGAAACAACAACGAAGGGATTTCTTAGTGAAAAACAAGTGCTTTAAATGAAGTGTTTTAATGAAGAACCTGCAGAGAAATTCCCATCTTTTCTAGATGGACCACCAGTTGAGCTTTAAGAGTAGCATCAATTTGCCTTGATATGTCAAGCAAGGTCTGAATTAATTATTCTACAGATCCCCAGTGGAAAGCTCTCATTCCTTTAGTTAACACAGTCTTGGCACAACTCAGCACGGAGCGCTCGAACCTTGTCCAGCAGTTAGTGCTGCAATTTGCAGTGAGAAGACACCAACATTGAAGTGGGATTTTGCTTTCCCTGGACTTCATTCCCAGCCCATGCATGGGAAATCTCCTTGTCTGCACTACAAATACTCTCTCCTGCCTCTCAGGGAGGCAGCTTGATTTGTCTCCCACTGGACATATAAGAGCATTGGTGCCATACAAATCAAGCCCACCTTCCCTTCCTCAACACCCACAGCAGCATCTCTGAGAGTATGAGAAGCACAAACCTGTGAGCCTTTCCTGGGTTGAGCAGGGATTTCCTTGTTGAGAATTGTATCTATATAATGTTAGTATTGTTAACTGCTAACAACCCTGACTTCCAAGAATTTGTGGAGTCCTACATTTGATATGTTTTCTTCTCTGCAGTAACCTGTACTTCATTTAAATGCATTTTCTCTACAAAAATGTTTTAAACCCCCACCCTGCATCCATTGCTGGATGTCGTCTAACCAGACTCCTGTTCTCTGTTGCAAGAAACAGAGATCAGAGCTTCTGAATTTCCCTTTTGTTTACTACTCCAGCTATTACAATGAGTTCTAATGGTATCTCACCTCCATGACTGGGGATGTTAGATGACTTTTCCTATGGAAACAACTTCTTATCCTTGATTATCCTATTATCTTTCTCTACATATTCAGTATTTCAGAAGTAAGTTCATTTTTCTTGAAGACAAGGAGAACCTGAACTGAAATGCAATGCTCCAGATGTGTGCTCATGAAAGATTTTATTCAGTGGTTTATCATGCCATTCCACCATGCTGTTTGATTATTTCCCTCCTAATAATTTCTGGTGTTTGTCATTGAAGAGCTTCACACTGTGCCTCCAAGATGTTTTTTCCATTTGATTACAGCCAATTTAGAGAATATCCTCATGTTCAGATGTGCCATCTGCAGTACTTTGCAATTATTCACACCAAATCCAACCTTCTTTATATCATCATCTGCCAACTTAGAAATGTGAGAACCTTCTGTATGTCTTCACAGTTAGCTGTAGGCTGGACTGCCCTCCATAACTGTTTATAACCCACAAATGTTATCGGTTCACTATCAACTCCTTTCTCCACATCACCCAGGAACACACCGTGCAGCATTGCTCCCATTCAGATTCCTGTCAGACACCTCAGAAATTTCAGTAATCCTTCTCCTTCAAGTCAACAGACGATTTCTTCTTATTTTTGTTTCTTTTAACCAGTAACTAATTGATAGGTCAGTTTTTTCCCTTCTCAAATGCTAGCCTGGTTTCTTTCAAAACCTTTGCCCTATCTATTCATTAATACCCATTAACTCCTGGCTCTTGCTAAAAGTGGACTCCTCTTTATAACTTGCTTAGGAAAAAAATGTTTCCATTTATTTTGCCAATACTATGGCTTTACGTGTAACCTCACCAGAATTTATAACCTCCCGTATGTTCCTCCTTTGGATTTCCTTCCTAAAGTTTAAAGATTGCTTTTAAAACAGATCTCATTTATTCTTGTTTAGCTTGTTTACCCTGCTTAGCTCTTTTTCCAGGTGTGAAAGTAGAGTGACATCCTTTTAAAAATTGATTTAGATTCACTCCAAGATGCCACTGCACATCTCAACATGCTGCAAGACTCCATGACACCTTTAAGTGTTTAAGCCTCCAGCTGTTCCTTTTACTTTCCTTTTTTTACTTTCTAATGCTTATGATTTTCCCCTTTCAAAATGAAAAGAAATGTGGTAGATTTTCTGCCCAGCCTCTATTTGGTAAACAAAAATTCTATTATCTTCTTTTCTTCCTAGGAAGACCAGAACATGGATCACCATATTTTTTGTTCATACTCAACCCCTAAAGTTTATGGCAATTTCAGTGCAAAATCTTGCTACCAAAGACTTAGGAATATAATGTACATTGACAGTGAAAATATTTGTACCTAATAATGAACCAAACTGAGAATAAAAGAAACACATAAAGCCTGAGCCTTAATACACACAGACCAAATTCACTGCCACAGATCTAACCCACAGAACGTAACACTAGAAAATTAGCAGAGAAAAATCACCATTAGTTTTAAGAAAAAAAATAATGTTGAGTTATCCTTTACCATTTAGAAACAAAAATATGGATGTTTTCTGTAAGAAAATCAGGGTAGAGAAATTAATCACATTTAAGCTATTAAACCCTAGCTCTACGTTTCATGAAGCATCTTAATAGAAAAAATATAAAAAAAATCACTGTGTTATGTATTATCTTCTTATTTTCCATCATATGCTATGAGTATCCTGTGAAAAAGAAAATATCCATTTCCTCTTATCTGTATTTACATGCTAAGGTATCACAGATAAAAATACACCAAATCACCAATTTCTCAGCAAAACTGCTTTTGTAAATGAAGTAACTCCTTGAAGTGTTTAATTTTTATCAAAGGCTAAAATTTTGTGCCATTGACTTCAAAGGGAAGCACATAGGCTTTTCTAGTGTCAGTAGTTTTGGAAAGTAAGGTGTGAAGTAAAAACAAGCATCTTCTTATCCTCTTGGAACCATCCCTCCAAAGCATTTGTACAGAGTAATGCTTAACTTGGTTTAAATTTGTTTGGGTCACAATTTAAAGTAGGAAAGCCAGAAGTTCATCTGGGGAAAACTATACTAGAGCCTGTCTCATGGATCAAGTAATAAAGAAAAAAAACCCTAGAGATAACTTATTTATATTTTTCTTAGTTTTGGGAAGAGGGGATATTTTTGAAAATGCTGCTTGAAATTACATTTTTAAAACCTGCCAATTGTTTTTAAAGTGTTTTAAGACTGGCCAGAAATTCTTAAATGTTATTTGGACAAAATAATTTTGTCCAAATTTTGTGGAGAAATTCCTTCATTCAGCTGTGAATAAACAACACCAAACTCTTGATTGTTAGTACCTTCAGCTTGGACTAATCTTTTAGCTAGTTCCCCCCTGCTTTTTCCCACAGTAGCATATTAGCTGGGATCCTAAACATTGCTTGGGGAACACAGTGATAGAGATGAGACCAATTTTACTCTGAAGGAAATTTTAGAGAAATTAGGGGAATTACATCAGGAAGTAATTTTGCCCAGCCTACACAGAGACACAACATGTCCTTTTCAATAGAGTTTGTTATATTGCCAGTACAGTGAAACATTTTATCTGCTCTCTTCAGACTTACATGTGTATTTAGTCCCACTGCTTTTGGGTCCTACAGGAGGCCACATAGAGCTTGTGGGGCTGGGGTAGACAGTCAGACAGAGTTTGGAAACAGGAAAGTATAAAATGCTAACTAAGGAGGATGTGTAATCAACAAGCGCCTCTCCTTAGAAATTAAAATTTTTACTTAAGGAAGTTGGTGGCAGGGACAGAAATATCAGACAGTGGATATTTTATGGACAGACTGCATCTTTTACAAGCATTAACATTCTCTTAATTTGCCAAAAACTGCTCATGAAGATATGCAAACAGCTAACTAGGTCACAAGGACTCACCCTACAAAGATGACAAAAAAGTGCAAAGATGACATAAAAAGTTGACTCTATGTCCATTTAAAATATTTTTTTCTTTTTTTTTCCTGTTCTCTCACTTGCTTTGAAACAAATTTTAGCTATTATTTTAACAGTGCTCTGAATAATCTAAGATAAACAAGCTTCTGCCCTCGTAACAGAACCGTAACAGAAATAATGGATAAACTAATGGGAGAGATTACTCTGGCAGGGTTTTAAGCTGACTTTTAACACTTATTCTTGCAAAGCAGTGTTTTATATATTTTTTAATCCACGCTTCTTTAATACATATTCCATTCTGGATCTACAGGGATCCAGAGACAAGCATCATTTTATTATGCTAATAAAGGACAAGAAGAATACATCCTTGTGGATTTGATCCCTTTGAAAATTTTATCTATGAAAAGAGAAAAACACTGTGTTTTTAAAGACAGCAGAGATTTAAAATATTCATTTCATATGCAAGGCTGAGTTTAACTGCATGTGGACTTTTTATTTTCCCAAACATTTAGCCACAAAATCATATAAAAAAATACATATATCCTAACACACAATAGAATATGCCTAGCCTATATATTCATTTATTTCCTTCAGTTTTTTAAAAGGCTGCTCACTAAATAATAGAAGTCACATTTACTTATGAACGAATATACAGCTTAAACCCACCACCACTTTTTTTTTTTTTTTTTTTTTTTTTTAAATTATCACTAGTGGTATTCTAGTTTGACCAGCATACTAAGCTTGCTGTTGCCTTCTCCTGTACTCCCCAGGGCTGAGGTCACCTGCCTGAAGCTCATACAAGGCAGTAAGTGGGTGTAAGATGAAAACTACCACATGCCCCTGGCTTACCTCTCTTCCTCTCTTCGACATCCTGAGGTGCAGCTCCTCCAGGTCGCCTGCTCCCCAGCACTGCCAAAATGCCCTCCAAGAGGTTAAGCAAGCATCAGTCCCTTACACTCAGAGCCAGGGCACTCTGCTCTGCCCACACCGTGCCACTTTCCCCCTGTGGCAGGCAGCCCACAAAACGGGCTGCCATCCACCAGCTGCTCACCTTGCATCCGTGGGTGAGACGTGCCCTTTGGGGACTCTCCAGTCCTGGACCCCTCACAGCCCACTTCATCAGTGCTCCTCTCTTCTATCTTACGAGTATTGAACCAGCCAAGAGCGCTCAGGCACTGGACAGGTTTCTGATCAATAAATTACTCTGCTTTACATGGTTCAAATTTAAGCTTTTATTTGGTTTTTAAATTAAAAAAATAAATTTCGTTATTAAATAGTGGAATGGGTCTAAACTAATGTTTACATATTAGTTCACTTGCTTTAGGATACCACCAGAGAAATAATTGAAGTTTACCACCCAGACAAAACTTTCTGTTAGAAAGCTCAACAGTGGCGTTATTCAGTTAAACAGGAAAAAAAAGCCCCAAAAGTCTTAATGTTTACAATGAACGTTAGAAGTAAACCTCTGGTTTCAGCATCATCCAGCTCTAGCTTCCATCACAAAGGCAGTCATTGTATTCAGAATACTATACCACAGTGCTAATGTCATCGGCTTCATCTGGTTTCTTTTGCCTGCTTGGCAGGGATTTCAAGTACTCAAGGTGCCTCCTTGCGTCCTCCTGGTTCTGTCGGACGTAATAAACCACGTAGGAGATCACCATGGTGAACCAGCCAAACATGGTGACCAGCATGGCGTAGTCAGTAGTCTTTTTAGGGAGGTTGCAGAGGTCAGCATCGTTGGCAGCGTTGAGGAAGGGTCTCCCGGCGTGCTCGTCCAGCACAGATGTCTTGCAGATGACGTTGTTGGCCGTCTCGTGGTTGGAGGCCATGCTCCGCAGCACCTGCTGCAGCGTGCAGTCACAGTGCCAGGGGTTGTTGGCAATTCTGGCCCTGGCCTTCAGGTTGTTGAAAGCGTTTTTGTGCACGCTTTTAATCCGGTTGTCGGACAAATCCAGAGTCTGCAAGGTTTCTGCCACCCCTTTGAAGGCATGTTCATCTATAAACTCAATCCCGTTTTTTGATAAATTGAGGACTCTCAATTGGTGCAAGTCCTTAAAAATTTCGTTGGGGATAGATGTTATCTGATTGGAGTCCAAATAAAGTAAGACTGTTTCTGGAGGAAGATCTCTGGGTATTTCCTTGAGGTTTGCATTGCTACAGCTGACGTTCAGACCTCCAGAGTGGGAACAGAGGCAGCCTTTTGGGCACATACTGGCAGAATGAAAGCACAGTATCATGAGGACAAAACTTTGTAAGAGCAGACACATGGAGAGGGAACGAGTTAACCACAGGTCTACCAAATGCATGCTGGGCTGTCAGCATAATCACATGACCATTTCTCATTCAGCCAACAGGGTGGGAAAAGGATTGGCAAAGCTGAAACGTGGCTTCATTTTCTTCGGCAGGACTAGTAAAAACTGGTTAGTAACACGTGGGCTTCCTCATGGTCAATACGCTTCTTAGAAGCATGCCTACAGAGAAGAAGGAAAAAAAGTTCTTTATACCATAAATTCCAATTCTAACTATCTTTTCAATAAAAAAATAGAAATAAAAAGATGTTAAAGTGAAATGCCACTCTAAATAAATGATCTATTATCTTAGGTAACTCCTATTAGCATTAATCTGAGTTTAGTGCATAAATCCCCGGGACATTTTTAAGAGGACAGACTACACTTACTACAAATTGCATGAGTTTGGTCTTTAATACTTACTAGAGAAGGCATTGGTTTGTTTTTATCACAGATTCTTTTAAAACACCTATAAAACTAAATTGCATTTTCCCTTGCTGAAGTAGAAGATGCACTGACAGAAGCTAAGACTTGTATCTCCAGCAACAGTGACAGGTCAAGCAAGGAATTTGTGGTGGTTAATGTGAACTTATCTCAAAATAATTTATGCTATTTTAAGTCCAAATCAAAGTATGTCAGCAAGGAAATATTTTTACTATATCAAAGAACAAAAACCAGGTAAAGCAAATGCTGTTGCAAGACACCACCATCACCCACCATCTCCTTGTTCTTCTCCCCCTCCTTCTCTTTTGCTTTAGAATGCTGGATTTCTGGTACCTCCCAGCATTTTGTGAGACCCACAGACATAATTTCTGCTTCCATTTTTTTTGGAAAATTTTCTTTTCATGTAAAAAAAAGAAATGTAACAATTGCCAAAAACTCATATACCCCACCTTCCAAAACAAATAAAACTCACAAAACCTATATACAAGCCAAACATTAAAATATCTTATTCACGGCATGTAATTTCCTAATAGGACATATGAAAAATACTGCTTTTGCTTCTTCCCCCTCAAGCTGGCTTTAAAATAGCAAACATCCAGAAGCTTTTCCATTTCCCCCTTTAATTGGAACACAAATACAGAAGTCTGAAATGCTGACCTATATGGTTTCAAAGACAACCCTTCCCCCCCACCACCCCTATTATGGTAAACTATGAATTTCTAACAACAGGTCCATTTGTTTTCATGTACATGCTCTCTGTCTTTGTAGCAGCTCGGATATGTGTAGCCTTCAGGTTGTATTTACATATAAATGAATTATGCTTTTTTCCAAATCCACACTGTAGCCCACTGAACAAGAAAATCCCTGCATGGAGGTTATGTGTGATTTTACATGAAAAAGAAGAAATTGCATTGCAATCACTTTCTTGCTTGCAGAACTGACATACCAACTGCAGTTGCTGACACATCGCAGTAATACAGATCAGATGTGTCAAGCATAATTTCACTATTTTCAATAATTCCAAACTCATAACTCAAGTTCTATTTAACCCTTTTTGCTGAGGCTCAGTATGCCGGTAACCCCACAGGAAAAGAAAAAAACAAACCAACACCAAACAATCTTAACAGCATGTACATTACTTGTGATTATTCCACAGCTTGGGAATGGCAAAAGCTCAGCACACTCTCACTGCAACTACTGGAGAGAGTAGTGTATCACCACTGATCTTCAATTTACCTATTGTTCAAACCAGTGATTGCCTAAGAACCTAAACAGAAAGGTTACACTTGGATTCCATAGAACTTCTACTCTAAAATTAAAAAGAAATCTAATTGCTAGCAATGAGAAATTGTGAAGTTAACCCTGGAAACATGAGACTGTTCAGAAGGGAACTAAGCAGAGCATGAAAATCTCCCTTTGAGGAGAGAGAGGTGAGGCAGCACCTCCTGAGTCAATGAAATCCTTTATGACCTCTGTGGAAAAAAACAGGATTTACATGAAAGAAACCTATTGCGGTGGGTGCACCCTTCCCTTTTCTCCCTTTGGCTCTTTGGTCACTGCAGTGCCTGCTCTTCAGACCAGACAGAAATCTGTTACTGAAGGAGATAAGCTCCAGAAGTTGTTTTTTCCCAGCCTGCCCAAAAGCGCTAAGTACTCGCTAAAATGTGCAGCCCATTCGGAGGCCAAGCTGGAGCTGGCAGCTGCTCCCCCTGGCACTCGGAGCTGGCAATCTGCTGCTCCCTCCAGCAGCCCTGGGTGTTGTGGCAGGACAGCCTGTCCCCTGGAAAAACATCCACCTATTTCCTTTTCCCTTCATGTTCACATATCTCAGTACTGTGCTGCTGCACCAGAAGAGTAGATGAGTGGTCCAGCTCATCACCACAGCATCATCTCATCACCTACTGCTTGTACACAGTGAGTTCCCACCACTGGCACTGGAGTCCCACTGCAAGAAGAGACCGGGGGGAAGAGCAAAGACCTGAAGTTGTTTCAGGTGCTTCATTTTATAGAAGCAGAAAAATTTCATTTTAAAGAAGCACACTCTGTTCTCATCAGAGTGTGACAAATAAATATCGAATTTGCTTCGTTACAGGCTAAAAAAATCCAGTCAGCCTGGAAATACAGCGTGGACTCTGCTGAGTCCTCCACAGTACTGTTACACCACCGAAGAGCACATATGGAAGAGGCCCCAAGCACCAAAGACAATGTAGAACATCCTCATCGCTCTGAAGACAAATGAAACTACCTAATGGATTAAGGTGTTTAGAGTGGAAAAAGTAGAGTCATTACAGACTAAGCAGGATAGTGTTTAATGAAGCAGTGCCTCTTCTAAAGGCCTAACTAAGTAAATGAATATAGAGAGGAAAAAACTCACAGTGTTTTAAGTTGTTAGATAGAGCAAATACAAGTTAAAACCTGCAATTAACAACCCAGTCAACAAAATTTGTCTGAATAAGAACAAAGCTCAGCAAATTCCCAGTAAATTAACCAGAAGAAACACAATGGGACCGAGCATCAGTCATGGCAAACAGAGCTTTGTTTGCTTCAGAATATCCGATCTAAGGAATCTCTGAGGTTTAGGTTTCCACAATAAATGTAGAGCAAGAACTTTCTTTACTTCTAGTGACTGCAAGAAAAGAAAAGAAAACTAGGATTCACACATTTTTAACGCCAATAGGAAGATCTGTGGCTTCTTGAGCTATATTGAATTTCCTCTTGCTTGGAACACAATAAATAAATGTGTCAAAGCTGGAACAAACACAAGAGAGATATACCAGAAAAAACACTAATAACTACCAACAAAGGGATGAAAGACAGAGAATTAAAATAAATATATGAATTAATTATAACTCTACAAATAAAGAAAAAAAAATGTAAAAGTGAACGAAGGCACAGGGAAATGACAGCAATACCAGGAGCACTTGTAGCAGCGTGGTATAAAAAGGCTTTTTGTGCACATTTCTAAAATACAAGTACAAACACAGAATACCAAACGCCAAGTCTAATACTGCAGGGGAATAATACTACAGACAGAAGACTGCACAGAAGAGTTCTTTACAGTCTTGCAATTTAAACAGGTTTCCAAGGCTTCCTCTTCTCAAGCTCCCCCAAGACCATTCACTCAGTGCTAACATCCAACAACGTAAGAAAATGTACAAATCCTGAAATCCTCAGGGAAAGCACATTGCTTTTAATACATAGTGTGAGATTTCTACTGAGCTTCAGGCATCAGGTACTTGCAAGTGTTTGTCTTTACTGCAAACAAGGTGCAGAGACCATTACATTAGCTCCTGAATGCAACACTACTAAATTATCTATTTGAATAATAACTTCTCCCCACAAGAAACTACTGATGTAAGGAAGGATTCGTACCTCCAACTACCAGCATGGAAAAAGGCCCCACAGACTCAACAAAGTCACACAGAAAATCCAGGACAAGATTGCCTGCAATATTACTTTATGCTGTTTTGTCTTCAGAGAAAGATATAGGAAGATAGGAAATCCTATAACTATCACAAAGAACAGACAAAAAATGACACAGGCTGAGATGTTTTGTTGTTTAGGGAAATACTAAGACAACAAAAGATGCATGAAAAGACAATCAATCATATGTGTTAAAGATGCCTGACTAAGGGAAGGGGTTTTCTACTGTGAGACTTTCAGAGTCCACATGGCAGAGTCCACATAGGTCATCTCCCAAGTACTCACACATCTCCTGCCTCCATAAAAGAGAATGCAGCAGCTACCAAATTCTCACACTTGAAGGACAGCCATTGCTCTCAGAGGACTCAAAAGCAGAGACTACAACCAGCCTTGAGACGTGTTCTGCCTATAGTATTTTGAACACACCCACACACACAACCCCCTCAGCCCCCAGGTGAAATCAGTGGAGCCACTTGTTGATGACACTCTTCCTGCAAATTTGTATCTTTCAGGTGCCAGAGAGGGATTTACTTCCTATTTGTTCAGCAGATGCCCTCTCTATGCATTGTGTATCTACATTTTAGCAGGGTTCCTTCAAAAATATTTCTGTTGAGGAAAAATCAAGACCATTGTCCTTCTCCTGACAGCTCTTCATCAAGCAAGATCTCACACGATAAACACAAAACCACAACCTAATGTATTTAATATAAATGTTTTTATGGGAAGATTCCTGTTGTAAATCACAGAATGAGGGCCACAAATTAAGTCTTTAGAACAGGATCACACACGTACATGCCAACACAAGAGCCCCCAGACTCACACACAGCATCCTCACTCGTTTTGCCTGCTTGCCAAACACTGATGGGAAGAATAAGCAGCAGATCTCTGCTCTCAGTACCACACTGGGCTTCCCCAGATCACAGGCTGTAAGGACTCCTCAGTGACAAGAGACTTGAGAGACTATTTAATTTTTGTTGTTATAATTCACAAACAAGTAAAAATGGAAAAATGGAAAAAAGATCTCATCCTAAAAGCATCTTCATTCCATTAGCTGACAAACACAGGGATTGTGCAGAACACACCCTCCTAGCAATAACAACTGGCTAAATACTGCAGATATTTTGGAAGACATTCTTTTGGTCTTTCTTTGGGATACAATATCATGGAATGCCAAGGAAAAAAACCCTGAAAGTTCTGTAGTGTCAAGCTGCAGTTAAGGCACAGTCCTTAAAGCGAGAGCAGAGCTGGCAGCCACCTATAGAGCTTTATGCAGCTTCCAGGGTCAGAAGTTACAAAGGGTTTTCACTGCTGATCTCTTATGTCAAGCAACACTTCCATCTCAGGCACCATCACTTGTGCAGACCCCATAAGCTAAATTATGCCTTCACTGGCATTTGAGCAACTACACCATCCCCTCTACATGCAAAAAGGGCTGCACAGCACAGACATCTCACTGTAAAGGAAATGCAGTGATAGCAACTCCATTTTCCCTATCAATAATGTAAGGTACTAGAACAATGTCTCCTCTTCAAAGCTGGACCCACTGATGAAAAAGATTGCATCTATGACCCCAGCAATGTCAGAGGGGTCGCAGCTAACTACTAACACTCAGCAACTGCACACACAGTTTGTACTTCAGACTACTGAAGGCTCTACCATTAGAAGGGAATTTCTTGTTACTGTAGCTAATGTGCTCAAGGGAGCAGGCAAGATCAAAACAGGGAGAGGGAAGAAGCCAACAGATCAACCACAGGGGGTGAGCTGTTGGCTGCATCATGACTGTACTCAATCTGTCTGGTCTGTCACTTTTCAACCACCAGAAAATCTGGAAAAAATCATGTACAACCCAGCTTCATAAGAATGGGGATCATAGGGACTGATGCACAATTCACCTGCCTAGGCTTACCACGCTTCTGAGAATAGACAGCTGTAAAGCTTGAGTGACTTTGCTACTAACTTAACCCAGAGAAGCCCCCATTTGAAAACGGATCCCAAGCAGCACTGCAGAGCTCCTTGGGATCACAGAGGCCACAACAAACATCACAGTGTCCTCAGTTAATACTGATGGTATCCCCGAGAACAACTGCAGGTCCTTCCCATCAGAGGTGCACTGCACATGTCATAGTGCCTCCCATCCTCTTCTCCTACAGCCCATACAACTCTATACAACCTAGAGACAGCTCCTCTTTCTGTGGGCAGCTCTACTGCCTCCAAAAGAAGCTCTCAACTCACAATAAGCCCTCAAGGGATCTTGAAAAAGAGCTCAACTTTTCAAGCCTGGTCTAAGTAAAGTCCTGCCTTCAACTTTCTTGAATGCCAGCCTCGGAATTTTGATACAGAATTAGAAAAGTCCAGGAAATAAGAGTCCTACAGGGCTCTTTTTTTAGACATCTTTAAAGTAAACTTGCACTTTGAATAAATATTAAAATTTTATAACTAAAAATCCATTAAATGCAGCACAGTAAAAAGATCATTATTTTAACTGACTTTCGGAAAATTACTCAGATGTTTTATAGTTTTGAAAGACCTGATATTATTGCAACTTTTTATAACTATGTTGGTTTATAGAAAAGATGCTCATTGACAAATCTAGTTTTCTATTTTCTATTAAAACCTTGCCATACTGAATATTTTTGGGTTACATAGGGTTTAACAAATTAACCACTGAAATGGAAAATATGCCCCTTTCTAATACATTGTTTCCCATGAGTTCCACTTCCTGTAATGCCAGTCTGCTTGTTACAAAACGCACACACCCCCAACTTACTATTCCCCATCCATAGAGCTGTGTTTTATGACTTTGTCCTCCGCTTTTCTCCCCCATTGTCATAAAAAGCCATATACTGCTTTATCTCTAAAAATATTACCTTGCAATTAGTATTGACAAGGCAGCCATAAGATGGAGATTTTAGGCTAAAATTAACAGGTGAACAGCCTGAAAAGTGCAGTTTGCTAGAGGTCTGAGGACAGGACAATTTTACCTGAACCCAAAGAAAGAGATTTGCCACCACTACTCCCAAACAATTGCATATTTAGGAAGAGTTAAAACAGAGAAGATATTTGGAGAAAGACGTATTTATATACTTCCTACCCTTAATAAATCTTACACTACTGGTAAACACAGGCCTTCCAGTAAGCTGCACGCTGGGCTGTCCTGTGCACCAGTTTTGAGAGCAGCTGAGCCTCTGGAGGCCAGCAGCGTCTGTGCACACTGGGGAAAAACCTCCATGAAATCCTGCCTGGCTCCACCAGCATCTGCAGGATGAATCAGCCCACAAATTTCAAAAACACAGAATTGATGTAAAGATAAGAAATTGCAGGGTTTTATTTACATACCTATGGATACATGATAAAACTACACCATGGCAATGTGACTGAGTGGGTACTGAGCTGGAAAGCGATGATACTTGTGAGCTGGAGGTGGACAGGAGCAGCAGGAACCCAAAGGGGAATGCAGCAACCACTCCTGACCTCCGTGCTGTCTGTGCACTATAGAACAACAAATTGCATGGGTACCAAGTGAATTCTCCAAACAAACCATACAATCCTCTAGAACAATGCCACCTGTGTGCTGTCAGCACACCACAGCCAAGGGCAATCTCACCAGCTGCACAGACGGACTGCGCATCGGGCAACTCAACCCTCTCCATGGCTCCAGGACAACCTGAGGAAATTCCATTTAGCAGATGAAACAAGAACCTGGTTTGGATTCCCAGGACAACCTGTGTCTTTCACGCATCTCTCCCTGTCACTACTCAAACGTGGAGGCCTGGCTGCTTCACAGCTCAGCCACCTTGAAGGTAGGCAGAGTTAAGATGCTACGAAGCACCAAACCAGAGAGGTGCCACGAGCTGCTTGCAAGGTGCCAGGTCTTTTAAATTCCCAGATGAGTCTCCAGCAGAGGAAGAGTTTCAGGATTTCAGAATATAGCAAGATGAAAAATCCTAAAGCAGTACAAAGAGGAATTAATAGAAGCCAACAGCAAATGAGGTGGGAAAAAAGGGGTGCAAAAAGATCACTGAGTCTATGAATAATTGAAATGTCATGATTAATCAGTGTGAGCCTGAACTTAAACTACATAATGGATTCATTATCTACTGAAACACCAAATGTACTCAAGCTATAATATTCTCCCCTAAGACAGGACTCAGAATGCCAGTCAACATTTTGTTCCCAAAAAACTTCCAGTATAGGCATCTATATATAACTGCAAACCTTTTCCAGTTGTAGAAGCAAAGAGTGTAGGTAAAGGTTTATAGATTCTGAGCTATGAATGCCCTCCCTTACCTGTCACAGAGTAATAAAATGGTTGAGAAGAGCCAAATGAACATTTTAAGCTATAATTACTTTCTGATTGTGAGATCACTGAATTTATCACTCCTTATTACAGATTAACATCTTAATTATACTGTGTGGGCAAATGAATCAGCACTTTAAGACTGATGGGTTGCGTTCACGTTAAAAAATATATTTGACTTTTTTTCCCTTTTCACATCAAGCCAGGAATTATTTCATAACTTTCAGATGATAAATAATTGTGTGAAGCTTAGCAGATATAATAACAGATTGATGACAAAAAAATATTACCAGTCATCTCCCAACTTTCCTATGATGCTTTGCTGTTGGAAGTCTTCTGTGGCAACACATTTCTTGGAATGAGATTTGATAACTTGCTGGAAATTAAAGAAACAGCTTCTGGGGATTACAGAAGGTGGTAGACCTTGTTCTTTTGAGCTTTAATAAAGATTGGATCACCTGTTTTTCAGAAGGTATTCAATGCTGCCTACTTTTCCTTGTTATCTCCTGCATCCTCTTCATCTGACATAGACTACAGACAGCTCCTGTCCTTTCCCTGAGCAGTATACCCTGATGAGAAATATAAAAAGCATTTTGTATGCACATCTATGCCATTTGAAAAAGAAAAGAAAATGTTACATACACTTACAGTGCATATGTAGTGGCAACATAAAGCAAGTTAAAAATGAAAGGCACAAGATGTAAGATACATCATAATCTTTAACATAATTTATCACTATATTTGGAAGAAATTGTCTTGACAACCTATAGAAGAAATGAACAAAGGCTTAAGATAAGCCACTTACTGCTTAGCAAACACATCTGCAAAAAGATTTTTTTATCACTACGTAAGAACATGAAGAGCCACATTACAGATGCTAAAGGAAAATGCTTCAACACACACAAATGACTACTTGTGAAGAGTTCTCCAAAGCCTCATCATTTTTTTCTAGATTATTAGTGTGAATTGGGGTAAAAAACATTTTTAAGAGTTTGGGATTATATTCTACCAAGTCCCAGTCACATTTTCTGAGAAAACATCAACAACCACTGTATTTGGCAAGAAAATCCTTTCCAGTTGCAGCTGAGTCAATCCTCTACATGATCTATAGTAGAAAAAAAATATACTCTGAAAGCTTGAAATAACCTGAAGTGGAAATACTTCATCTTCCTTGGGTAAAGAGATCCAGACTGAAGTATTTTCTGAAGTCTGGTTATGAAGAGAATACCTAGGAGCCTTTAAGCAATGCTGTAGGTTTTCAAGATATCTGATATAACCCAATGGAAAAAGTTTCCATCATAAGATGTCAGCTTTACAATATTTGCAGATTTATTTTTCTCCCATATTATAAAATAACATGATCAAAGTGAAATAGACAAGTGCCCAGTGTGAGCCATACTTTTTCCAGTAGCTAATGATGGATGCTCCTTCAGCTTAATTGGGCAGAATCTATCAGATCAGAGAAAATCTTGTCTTGATCTCAAGATAATTACACTGATTACCTCAATGATTACCAGCATAATCAGTGGCAAGTCTTGCAATTTAATCTTGATAACTGCATCTGGTGACTGCAGATGGTGTCCTTGCCCAGTTGAAAATCTCATTCTATTTTTGCAAAGTGCAAATCTAACCCCTGGTAACAAAACTGCGTTATCAGAAACTGACAGGCCTTTAAGGAACCACCTTGCAAAGAAAAGCAAGATTCAGACCACCAAGAGACCTTTCTTCCACCTTTAAGAGTGTTTATTTGGTTATGTGCATTGCGATCTTTAGGCTCATCTGAGGTTCATCCAAATGCTCCTGCAACTTAGTAGAAGACAGAAGTCCTGTGTTAAAATCCAGGAAGTCAAGGCTGTTTCTCTCCCTGCACAACTTCCCAGTGACACAAACATAAAGCAATAATAAATGGCACAAAGAATTTGTGAGGAAAGAAGCCAGCAGAAGCCATTACTAAAATGAAGCAACCTGAATAACAGTAATACACAAGATGAGACTAGAAGGAAAAAGAACATACCTCCAGACCAATTACTCTGAAAAAATCTTGAAGTGGAGAAAAAACCCGCAAGATAAATTAGAAAAAGGGGACAGCAGTTAAAATATAGTACCTCCACAGTTATTAATTCAGCTCGTTGTGCTTTGAAATATGCTACCTGTATATTAAAAGGACCTTAAAGAAGCATGCAGAAGTAGAGTAACTCGTTTAGAAAAATGTGAGAAAAATAAAATGTGTACCAGCATGCAAAAGAAACCAATCAAGTTTGAAAGTTCCAATTAAAAGTTCTAAACCTAAAAGTGAATGCTCAACACCACAAAACCACAAGCTTCTCCTAATGAAATTAAAATTGTGACTTATGAATATAATTCAGAAAACAGCAAAAGAGACAACAAGTATGGAATAATTATGAGATCAGTAAGAAATTAAGAAACTTTAAAAGACATTCAAGTGACCTTCCACAATCAAGTGACCCACATTGTTAGCTACAAGCCATTTGGCTTTGCCAAGAAACTGGCTGATCAGTGGTGCTGGTTTTTCTGTGCCAGTGGTTATTACACCTGCACACTGCCACTTGCACAGCTGAGAGAGCCAGGAGTACATCTACACCACCACACACACTCAAACACACTATGTACTTCCCATTTCTGCACCAAAGGTATCATAACCTACCGTATCAAACCACCCACCACAAAAATCCCCACTTCTAATATTTTAATCCATGAGCAGCTTCAAATAACTGTAATTGCTTTTTTATTAGCTTGCCAGAGAAACT